TGTCTGAGGGGTGTGGGGAGGGAGAGGGAAGAGAGAAAGGGGAGACTATGAGGTTGTATCAGAGCTAACAACTCAGGGAAAGTGTCCATGATCTACCCAATAGAAAAGTGGCATGAGGAAATGGTCCCAAGACATGTTTGACCGTAAGGGAAGAAGGTCCTGGGAACAAAGAAGCTACAGGTTCTGTAGAGGGGCCTAGGCTGAAGTATGTCAAAGAGGCAAGACCTTTTACATTCTTAAAATTCAAGTTCAACTCTGATGGATGTCTGGAGTTTGTCATTCCAAGCAAAACTGATCTGCTGGGTGGGATGTGGGTGGAAGAACCTGAGGCTGGGACTTGGACACTCTGGAGTGTTATGGTGAAAGGTTGGGGTGGGTTCAAATGGGTATGTATGTCAGAAACAGGATCTCTTCCCGTAAGTCACACGGTGACTGGCACCACTTGCCTGCCCAAGGCCTCTGACACTCTGCAGAAGAAGCACCTAGCCACAGCCCCAGATCCACAGCCATTTGGCCCCGGAGCTGTGATGAACCCTGCCGCTGGCAACCTCCTGCTGGCAGCGTGGCAAAGACTGACCCAAGAAACACTAGGTTTCCAACTCCTCAGGCTCCACCTAATGAGCCATTGGCAAGAATGTCACCAAATTGCCGGTGAGCATGCTCTTGTGGGTTACCTCAACCTCAGTCTCGATATTGGCCCAAAGACTACTCAAGAAACCCAAAACGGAGCTGCCTAAGTGGGTCTCTGCCTAACCTCACAGCCCAGCCTCCAGCCAGGTATCTGGGCAGGCACTCATGAGCCTACTGCCCACTTCCTGCTGCCCGGCCCCACTGCTTCAAAGCACGTCCCTCCGTAGACCAGGTCATCTCTCTGCTATTTTTAGTATGAAGATGGGGAGGAGAAGGCGGGAGAATCTATAGTAGTCAGTATCTTTAATCTCATCATCTAACCCGAGAAGATCGACCTGCAGCAGGCTGAACAAAGTTACCATGAGGAACTGCCCTGGATTCCTGGGGCTGAGCTGCGGGGTGGCCCCAAGAGGGGTCTTAGGAGGGTGCCACCACGGAGCTCCTTCAGAGCACTGAACTCTCTGGCAGCAAAAAGGAGAGGGAGGGAGACTCACGTCCTTCACTCCTCCTTTCAGCCTAGAGGCAGTGTGGTCTGGGGGCGCGCCCAGCAGCAGCTCCCTTCCCCAAGTGGCCTCCGGGTGGCCAGTTCTAGCTAGCCATGCCTAGCCATCTAAGCTGGGCTCTGCCCTGTAAAGCAGCCCTGGCTACTGTCCTCCGGCTAGGCCTCGAGAGAGACTCGCATTTCAGTTTCCAGAGGCCAGGAGGGAGGGAAAGCGTGCAGAAGACGAAGGCAAAGGCGAGGCAGTAAGCACCTGGCGGCAGGCCCAGGCCCCACCTCCAGCCTCGGCACCGTCCTCCCAGGGGATGAACAAACTCCCCCGCACTGGGGAGAGGCAGCCTGGGACTGGAACGCAAGCAGCGCGACAGAGCTCCGGAGCCCACCGGCCGGGGCCCCATTCCCAGTCCGGTCGGGCCAGTCTGGCTTTTAATAACTCAGGGCGGGCTCAGAGTCCCTGCTGACCGAGCCCAGACTAGGTCTAGCGATGGCTCCACCCCCACTGAGTGACCTGAGCCAAGTCCCTGCAAGCCCAGCCTAGTTTTCTAACCCCTTTCAAATGAGGCCTAAGATTAGTGAATTCAGGACTCTAAGCCTCCAATCCCCAGCAAGCTCCCCTCGGCCTCAAGCAAGCGCCCAGGTGAAGGGGGAAACGCCGCTCCCGGGGGCGCGGGCGGAGATCGAGTGGCCCAGGCTGGGGAGTGGGAGCAGGGTCACCACCGGCCGCGCCGCTCGCTGACCCCGGGCTCCCTTGCCCGCCCTGTTCCTGCCACCTCCTGGGCAACTCGGGTCCCGCGCGGCGCCCGCCCAGCCCCGAGCCCCGGACCGAGAGGGAGGAGGAGGAGAAGGAGGCGCTAAGGCGGCCGGGCGGGGCGCACTTACGGTGCTGTGTCCAGCCCCGCCGGGCCGCCGCCGCCGAGCTTGGTGGAAGCGCAGGGCCCACCAGTGAGGGCAGCGTCTGGGACATCCAGTTGGTGACGCGCTGGCGGTGCTCAGCATGACTCCCGATTCGAGAGCGGCACCGAGACGGCCTGCTGCCTCCAGCGCCTACCCAAGCTGACGCTGGCTCCTGTGCCCGGGCGGCCTCAGGCGGTGGGCACCGCGGGCGGGCAGGGGTGCCTGGCTGTGTCCCCGCGCTCCCTCGGCCCGCCGCCGCCTGCAGCTCATGGCCGCTGCTGCCTCGCGCGCGCCCCGGCCATCGCCGCGCCTTCCCCGGGCGCCAGGGAGGGTGGCCAGGCGGCCTCTGCCCGCCGCGCTCCGCGCCCCGCGCTGCCCGCCCCGCGCCCCGCCTTGCCCGGCTGCGTCCCTCCCGGCTCCTCAGCCGCCACCGGGAAGCGCCGTCCGGCTCTGAGCGCTGCGCGGGCTGCGCGCGGGGGCCGCGGCCGGGAGGCGGGGCTCGGACGGGCGGGGCCGACGCAATCCGCCCAGGAAATGGGTGGATTTTTCCTCTTGCTCGGCTCCCCGCCGCCCCCTGGCTGCCGGCAGCGAGATCTGCAAACTCCAGTCCGCCCAGGAGTTGGGATCAGGGTGACATGAGGAGACGGACGCACCACCACCACCCCCAGATCATAAAATACCCGGCGGCGGCGCGGGGACCCCAGCTGGGGCACGGCCCGCGGCCCTCCTGTCGCGGGGCTTCTCCCATCCTAACGCCTAGGCACCCCTCTCCGATCCCCGCAGAGGGACCACTTTGGGGCAAAGGTTGCCCGCAGAGAGACGGCACCATCCTGCCTACTGGGGCCCTTTTCCGCGGTGATTCGAGGGTCCCAGCCAGCCTGGGCCCTCGCCTGAAATCCAGCAGGCAGGGCCGGTTCCGAAAAGCAGCCAGACTCGCGAAGGCCTCCAGCGCCAGGGGGGCGTCAGGGTATTGGTGCAGAGTTAAAGGCGCCCCTGCGAACCCTGGGCAGCCGCGGTGCCCTAAGACCTTGCTTGGGAGGAAGGGAGCCAACCGGCACCCCTGGCACCGGCACAGCAGGGCGAGGGCTGGGGTGGTCCGCTGTGGCCCGCGGTGCGCAGGGAGGGGTCTGGGAGGGCGCACACTGGGCAGGAGCTGCATACGGTCTGGGGCTCAGACCTGGGCCTCGGGAGCTGAAGGGGCCACGCCCATGAGCGTGGTGTTGGGGAGGTGGGGGTGTGGGGCGGGAAGTGGGGTGTGTGGTGGAGGGGCGTGGGTTGGGGGGTGTCCTCATCGGCTCAGGGGTGGCGCTGGAGTCCTGGCGCCCAGGCCCAGCTGCAGGGCAAGTGGCGCACGCTGCCCCTCTTCCCGGCTCTCTGCGGCGACGGCGGCAGGACTCACGCGTGTCAGTCCCACCCGAAGCGCAGCAGGCCAGACTGGGTCAAACGAGTTAATAGGGCTTTTGCATTTGTAGAAGGCTGCTAATCGGAGATGAAAGCCGCTTCCTCCGGGGCCTTCCATTAAGCTTTCCCAGCCATTTGGGAAGGAAAGACTCCCCCAGCTCACTCACTACACTCTTCTCTGCCTGGGTGAAAATTAATCTCCCTTCCTGGATGGGATTTGAAAGACGGACGCGGACCGGAAGGAGCGCGCCTCCCTGGCGCCCGCCTGAGAGGAACAACGCCTTCCTGGGGCTTTTCTCCCTGTGCGCGCGGTCCTCGGCTGCAGAGACTTCAGCTGCAGCCAAGATGATCCTGGCCTGAGTGCTGGGTGTGAGTTACATGAGCCCCTTAGATCTGCTTTTCTGATTCATGCTGTAATCCCAGGCAGCCGGGCTGGGTCGGGGGCCAGGAAATTCCAACTGTTGGGGAAGGGCGCCATCTCCCAGCGTAAGCTGGCACTGCAGGCCCGGCTCACAGACTGGGCCCCGGCCGAGACGCAAGTCCGGTTGGGCTGGCGCCGCCCCGCTCCTCTGGCCCTGCACGTTTAACACCGATTCAAGGCCACAAGCTGTGTCTGTCCAGATCACTCACGCCGCTTCCCACTGCGGAAGGACAAGGACCACTTGTTCTGTGAGAACAACTTCAAATGCAACCCAATCCCATCCACAAAACTCTCAGGCCGTCTCAGAAGCCACAGACATATATTTAACGAAGTACAAGATTAACCTGCACCTGAGCCGCTCTAACCTGCACCTGAGCGGCTCCAACCTGCACCTGAGCGGCTCCAACCCGCACCTGAGCGGCTCCAACCTGCACCTGCTCCAAACTGTCCTGTCCAGTTTCTAAAATCTGTGATTCAGTGGGCGTAATCGTTATGAAAGGGTCGTCAGATAAGGCTTGAGTAAGTGTAATTTGATTTAGAAGGCCATGGAGCATTCTAGAAGGAAACTATGGATTGTTGAAGAATGAAGGCATTTGGATTAGAGGATGGGTACGGCCCCAGCCAATTAGGTATGGCCCCAGCCAATACCAAGTGTTCCTCAAGAGACTTTCAATCCCAATTTCTTCACGACTTCTCTTAAAGCAAGGGCTCATTACACCTGCAGCTCTGAACAATCATACGAATACTGATGGGGTGGGTGCTGCACCCCAGATGGCACTAGGGCTTTGCCATGCCGGCACCCAATCCTTACTGAAGTGCATGGTGTGGTGGCATTGACTCCACCGTACGGATGAGAAGTCTCAGGCCTAGAAAGATGACAAGACCTGTCCAAGGTCATATGGAGACAGCCTATTTCCAGGGCTAAGCCCATACACATGATAGCATCCTTGTCTCATAAATGTCATGGCCATAGTTAAATCTCATGAGCCCCAGAAGTGGCGTGAGTTGCATGGCATGAGCTGCATGGCCACAGAAGCCCTGGCCGTCTGCACAGTTCCACGAGCCACAGAGGCACCAGAAGACATTTCATGGGCCCTTGCCTTCCACGCTCGTGGGAAGGACAGGAGGCTGCCCGCCCCTTTCTGAGTCCTGGCA